GGAACTGGTGGGGACACTTGCAGTGTACACTGCTCAGTGCCTGCGCGGGCTCCATAGGACATTATACTGCAAATCCTGAGAATTGACTGCGTTATTGTCCGTCTTTTCAAACAGATGAGGAAAGAGGCTCAGAGAGATTAAATAACTTGTTCAGGTCCGTCCTGAGTGTAGTGGCCCAGTCAGGATTCAAATCCGGATCGTGTCTCAGCCCAGAGGCCTGACCACGTGAAGCCTTCCTTCTCACAGCCTTGTTTTCATATGTTTGGGGCTACAAAGTCAGGTTCCTGCGGGGCCAGGCAGGTCCAGCAGGTGGTGAGGGAGGGTCAGCGGCAGGGCAGGCCTCGTGGAGAACACACACCCTCTGCAGGCAGTCAGCTGGGAGGCAGGCCCGGGCTGCCAGGTCATCCTTTTGTATCTGCTTTTTTAAAATTATTTTTATTTAATCCTCTCCCCAGGATAATTTTTCCATTGTCCTTCTGAGAGAGTGAGCGGGAGGGAGGGAGGGAGGGAGGGAGGGAGGGAGGGAGGGAGGGAGGGAGGGAGGGGGAAGAGTGAGAAACAGGGATGTGAGAGACAGATCTATTGGATGCCTACAGCACACACCCCTCTATGCCAGGGAGCAATCCCACAGCCCAGGTACATGCCCTTGACTGGGAATCCAACCGGCGACCCTTCCGGACACAGGCTGATGCTGTCACTGCTGAGCCGCCCTTGCCAGGGCTTTTGCTTGATGCTTTCTCCCCACCCTCCCAGAATCTCGATAGCTGAATGTTGATGTGAAACGGAACATTTTTAGAAATATTGAATAACCAATTAATTTAAATTAAGTCACAGAGACCATGTGGGCCTCACAGGGCCCATCTGTGTTCACATGGAGTCCATGAGCCTCTGGTCGTTGAGATTTCAGGTAGAACCCTTCCCTGGAAAGGCAGTCGGGTAATTATGACGATGATAATGATGACGATGATGATGATGATGATGATGATGATGATGATGACATAATGCTCCAGAATCTCATTTTATTTGTCTCAGGAGTTGGGATCAGAAAGGGACTTGGAATTGGGGAGAAGAGCTTGGCAAAGGCAGAGTTTCAGAGCAAAGATGTTCTGATTCCATGTTTTTCAAAAGTGTTTCAGTCAAAGAACCCGTTTTCCAAGGAGGCGGACATGCAAAGCCTCACATGGGAAGGATTTTCACAGGCTGCTCTGTTGAAGTGTGTCCGAGCCGGTCTGTCCTGTGTTTCAGCCCAGAGTGTGGCAGCCGGGGTTGCCGCCTAGAACCCCAACGGACACAGTTTGGGAACCTCTGATTGTGCTCAGCCCTCATTTCCACAGGGGAAACCTGAGGCCCAGGGAGGATGTGGGTGTGATTGAGATGAACATGGGGCAGAGGCTGGGAGTGCTCCTGAGCCCTGGGCCATGTGGCTCTCCACCCCCAGGCTCACTTCCTGGACTGAGGTGCTGCAGGGGGAGCAGGAGGAGCTCCGCACCCAGAAGCAGGAGCTGCAGGCCTCCCTAGAGAAGGAGCAGCAGAAGCTGCGGATATGCCAGGCCGAGTACCGTGACCTGAAGGCGGAGCAACTGCCCAAGGAAATTTTGCTGAACAAGCTGAGCATCCAGTACGAGGTGAGGCCTGGGACTGGTGGGCCCCAGGACACTGGGCCTGAGCCCGGGGCTGACAGCCTGGGGCTCAGCCCACTCCGCCTGGGTCCTCATTGGCGTCTGTGCCCAAAGACTGTGTGGGAATGTCACCGAGAGGACGAGAGGAAGCCAGAGGCATTTAACGGGGACAAGCACCTTGGCTGGTGGGAACGTGTTAGAAAAGACCTCTCACCAACCTTTGCTTTTTGTATTTTTTAAATATATTTTTCTTGATTTGAGAGAACAAGGGAGAGAGAGAGAGAGAGATAGAAACATCAATGAGGACAGAGAATCCTGGTTCGGCTGCCTCCTGCACCACCCCAGCGGGGTTCCTGACAAAAACTTGGGCATATGTCCTTGACCAGATTCGAACCTGGGACCTAAATTCACAGTCCGATGTTCTCTCCACTGTGCTAAAGTGGTTATGGCCTGACCTTTGCTTTTTGCAGGGCCGGGGTGGTGCATGGAAGCAGCCAAGTGCTGTTTCCATTCTGTCCTCGCGGCTGAGCTCTCTGCCCTGTGCTCCCCAGGTCATCTCACTGAATTCTCACAATGCTTTTGTGAGCTGGGGCCCATCCTCATCCTCTGAGGTTGGGTCTGAACTCCGTCTGTTTGAAGCCGAAGCTTGGACTTTCCTGCCACTCCAGCCCAATGATATTCTGGGTCAGGAGTTGACCAACCTCAGCCCCGAATTCCTATCCAGCCGGCATTTCTTTTTCTGATGTCAGAGGGAGGAAGGGAGAGGGAGAGAGCCATGGGAGCTGCAATGACGAGAGAGAACCTCTGATGGGCTGCCTCCTGCACGCCCTTACTGGAGATCGACCCCTCATCCTGGGCGTGTTCCTTGACCAGGCCTCTCTTTTGTGTACTCCTGGTGCCGGGGGGCCGCTCCACCACCTGAGCCACATACTCTGGGCTGCTTCGTAATGACATACTTGACATTCTTTATAAAAATGGCTGTGAAGTCCTCAGAGCCTGTTGTACATTTTGCACGGATGGCGCCTCTCAGCTCAGACTGGCTGTGTTTTCAGTGCTCAGTGGCCACCCGTGGGCAGGGCTGTGCGACTGGCCGGTACACTTGGCCATCCCCATGTCATTGGCTGTGTTGGTCCTTGCGACTGGTGAAGCTCAGGCCGAAATGGCCATGTTCATGCACGTGGCCCTTTTCTCCTTTTGGGAGCAGTTTCCCAGCAGCGGAGTCCCAGGGGCCCGTGGTGTTGAGGACATTGTTGATCTGTGTTTCAGTCGCTCGCCCGTGCAAAGAAGGACTGGCAAGAGGAGAGAGGTCACCTGAGGAGGGAGAGAGACACCTTGAAAGAGCTGAACCAGAGCATTCTGAACGCGTGTGATGAGCACTGGACTGAGAGAAGGTAAGGGGGGGGGTGACCGACACCTGTCCACACAGGGCTGTGGGTTCCAGCTCCACGCCCAGGCCTCCACATTCTGGGCAGAGAGCCCACCGGCGAACTGGTGTCCCCACGGCAAGGGAACAGATCATCTTCCCAGCGCACCCTGCTCTCCTTTCTCTGGAATGGCTCTAGAATTCTGCAAGGAGGGGTGGTTGGATTTTGCTGGCTTCAGAGACATGGCCCACTGCCGGGCGCTTCTTAATCTGCTTTTGGAATTAAGCTCAGTTTAAAAATTATGACAGAGGAAAGAGAGGTACCTAGGGAAGCAATCCAGGTCCTGGGCTGAGCCCTTTCTGTGTCTGATTTCCCCTTGAGGGGCTGGAGAGAGGGTTGTGGGTACGTCATGGTTGTCCTTTCTCTGCTGACAAGACACAGACCTGGCTGCGGTGTAGGCCCTGCGAGGTGCACAGAACCAGTGACCTGGTGGCCACGAACCGGCAGGGGTGATAGGATGTGAGCAGAGCTGTGTGCCCAGCAGACAGATGTTGAGGAGCTCCAAGGAGGCGGAGAAGGAAGCGTGGTGGTGGGACTCGGGGTTCTGCAGCTGACCCGGATGGGGACAGGGCTAGCCAGGGGGGCGGGAGTGGCCCACTGCCGGGCGCTTCTTAATCTGCTTTTGGAGGGAAGGTGCTGGCAGGGCAGGAGGGAAGGCTGGAGCAGGGGCACTCAGATGTGGAAGGCCTCCATGCCTTGCTAAGGAGTCGGATTCCCTGGGAGTGAGTGTTTATGGGAGGCTGGTCTAAGGGCCAAGGGAGCTGCCAGAGAAGAGGCAGGAGGAAGAGGCTTGGTGCTGGAAACCTTGGGGTTGGAAGTCAAGTGACCCGAGATGCATCTGGTGGGGTCAGGGTGTTCTTCACCCCTCGGTGCTGAGCTGCGGGACTGTCCTTCCTTGTGATGGGGAGTGGCTGGCCATGGGGTCCAGAGGGACATGGTCACAGTGGCCACAGGGGCAGTGACCCAGCCCTTGGGGTCACGGTGCTGCTTCACTTTTCTCCCGGATTCTTCTGCTCGTCTACAGCTGGCTCGCCACCTACCCAGGATGGTTCACAGGGAAAGCCACACTGTAGTTTGGGGTGGAAATGACCGTGGCCTGAGTTGGCTCTCTATAGCGCAGCGGGTACCAGTGACCAGCAGAGGTTGGGTAGGTGCCAACTAGAAGCGTCAGGGGCTGGTACCCAGGGGGATGATCTGATGGTGGTTTTGCATTAGACAGTGTGGGCAGGAGGCCAGGGAGTGGGCAGGCTTCCTGAGCTGCTCCGAGCGGAGTCTTCCCAGCCCAGGGCGGGTTGGAGGCCTGTCTTTTGTGAATTTGTGTGCCTAGTGGTGGGGGTCGGTCAGTGCCAGACAGGAAAGCGCTCTAGCATAAGGCCCAGCAGCACAGCTGAGGGAAGAGAGGAACACAGACTAGAAGAACAGATGCCGAGCCAAGGGCTCTGGGAGCAGAACAGGGTTGGTGGTCCTGGGCCCAGGGGTTTGGGAGTCATCGCTTTTCACGGCTGCTCCCTTCACAGTGAACTCTCAGAAAAGCCCGCATATTAGGTGGGACCTCGGCAGCCTCATGGCCAAAGGAGCCTGAGCTGCTGCCTCGATCCAGGGGACTCATTTTCAAGCAAGGAAACCAGGGTCTCTGCCGTCAAGGCCCACGCATTTGCCACCTGAATTTCACATGTTTGGGGGCTTGCTCTCCTGAGAGGAGGCACAGCCTGATCCTTGGTGCTTCAGCAGGTCTCCTCACGTGTTAGGGTACCCGGACCCACGCCACGAGCTCCCATCCCCATCTTCCCCACTCGGCGAGCTTGACGGTCATGATCACCGTGATGTCCGAGTCCCAGGAAAATGCCAGCCCTTCTGGGCCAGGTCCCAGTCGGGGCCGAGGAGTCCATTCACATGTTTTATATAAAACCAGACTGTTCTTTCTCCTCTATCTGCAGCGACACACTGAAGACTATGTCTACCGGAAAGGCGGAAGAGGGCAGAACTGGGGAGTCACAGGAGGCTCAGTGTCCTGCTCCTAGGAAGTGAGTTGATTTCAGCAGCAGGAACTTCAACACAGAGCGGGAAGCTGCTCTTTCACGAGTGGGGAAAGCCATCTGGAGCAGGACCAGTGTGTGGGGCCCGCACCTTCCCCTCTATGGCAGGTCCCCTGTGCGCACCTCCCTCCCAGCTCTGAAAGAATTTAGAGTTTCTTTCCGTTCTTCCTCGGGGTTATCCTCTGAGGGATGGCGAATGCCAGCTGCCATGTCCTGTTGGAAGGGCAGACGCCTGGATTAGAGCCACTGAAGCAGGACTCTCAGGCTGTGTCTCCAGGTTTCAGGGCCTAGAACGCCATGTTTCTGTTTGGGAAGGAAGCGTGGGCCGGACACCTGGGCCAGCACCCATGGTCTTAGGTCACAGGAACCTCTTGGTCTTCCCTACATTCCTCTGGCGTCTCTGATTAAGGGTGGTTCACAAACACGTTCCCTTCTGCAGAGCAGCAGCCCAGGGGGTGGGCGGCTCGGTCCCCGAGGCTGCGGGCTTCCGTCCAGCAGGCCGTCCCCTGCGTCCGGGCCTGAGCCCCAGGAGCTGGGCCTTCAGATTGTCCTGCCCCAGCCCAGCCTTGAGGGCAAATCACCATGAATCCTGCAAGAGCTCTCTGTTCTCATCACAAAACCACATAATTTCCCACCCTCCGCCGGTCCCTTGTGTCGGCGGGGACATTGAGGCATCGCTGAAGAAAGTAGAGGAGTTGAGTCAGCACAGTGTTGCTCTGTGGCAGAGCCAGGATTAGAACCAGCTGCGGTTCTTCTTGTGACATTAGAATGCCTCCATTTCCAGTTAGCTGCACTGTATTACCCTTCAAGTTCATTGTTTTCATTTATTTATTTTTATTATCACACACACACACACATATACATTTATTTATTTTTATATATAGATATATATAGATATATAGATATATATTCATATATATATATATATAGATAGATAGATAGATATATAGATATATATTCATATATATATAAGGCTGAGGGAGAGAGAAACATCAATGATGAAAGAGAATCATTAATTGGCTGCTTCCTGAGAGAGAAACATCAATGATGAAAGAGAATCATTAATTGGCTGCTTCCTGCACGCCCTCTTCTGGGAATTGATTCTGCAACCTGGACATGTTCCCTAACCTGCTGGGGCTATTTTAATTTTGCTTAAACCTCACCTGAGGGGTTTTTTTTTTCATTGATTTTTTGAGAGAGTAGAGGGGAACAAAGGGTTGGGGGGAAGAGAGAGAGACATCAATATGAGAGACACATTGATTGGTTGCCATCCAGCACACGCCCCCAGTGGGCCCAGGGATAAAACTGCAACCCAGGTACATGCCCTTGACCCAGAATCAAACCCTTGACCCTTCGTGCTTGGGCCACTGCTCTTACCCCTGAGGCACACCGGCCAGTGTCCACTCTTTTTCATCCACATGGCCCAGCGGGCTCGCCCTGTTCCCCCCTCACCCAGATTCCTCAGTGCCCGGAAGGGCCAAGTCTGCCCGCCTGTTTCACCTATGGGGAGCTCCAGCAGAAAGGAGGAGGTCCCGACTCTCCCTGACAGGGCCCTGGGACGCACAATTGCCAGCACACCTAGATGAGCACAGCACCTCTGCCTGTGCCTCCCAGTGATGCAGAGTGGAGGCTGCATGTGAGGTTCTGTTTCCCGAGAGGCTAGTGCGGGTTTCTGCCACAAGGAACGCTTCTCCGGTCCCTGGGTCTGTGCGAATGAACTGCAAATGGTGCTCCTCGCCCTGAGGCCACATGCGACACACATTCGGTGCTGAACCCCAAGTTAACGGCCGCTTCCCCGGCTGGAGGGGCAGTGGGGTTGGCAGTGTCCTAACCCTCTACTTCTAATAGGAAAAAGCGCTGGAGCCGAGCCAGAGCCTTCCTCAAGTTCTTCCAACGCCAGAGAGACGGCTCACGAGGACAAGCCAAGTCACCCCCAGACAGCCTTCCTGGGCCCCTGGAGGCCATGCCATCGTGCTCATACTGGGAGGAGGAGGGAGACGCCCGCAGGGGGCCCCCACCAAAAGGTAGGAGGGGCTGGCCTGGCTGCAGGAGGGCAGTGAAGGGGAGGATCTCAGGCCTCCCTCGAGGTCAGGGCAGAACCGACGAGATGGAGCTGGGTGCGCACACGTGTGCTTGGAGCCTGAAGGGGCTCCCCACACCCCCGCCTGCCCCCGAGGTGTGTGAACACCCAAGTAGAACATGTAAGCCCACGTCACTGTGGTGGCAGTTTCCTCCCAGAACCATTTAGTTCCTTCAGCATGAGAAGCCTCCCCATCACCTACACTGTGGTGGGTCCTCGAGTATCCAGAGCGGATCTCCATACAGTTACCGCAGAGACACGCTCAGGAGAGGATGTGTTTGGGGCTTCTTGTCTCTGTCAGGCCTCGGATGAGCCATTTCTGTAGGGTCAGCCCCCATGTAACACGTCAGGACATCTGCCAGGCCTTCAGCCAGGCTCGGGCTCTGCTCTGTCTGTCCCTCTGAAAAGCAGGTGCGGTTCTCTTCTCCCACCTGACCTGGCCCTGAGTCCTCCCACCAGGGGGCGCGGGACCTGCTCCCTGAGGCCTGTGGTGGGAGTGAGCCAGAGGTTCCTTTGGTGGATTTGTAGCTGCATGTGCTGCATGTGTTTCCTGGGATCTAAGAGGCTGTCAGCTGAAAGCTGCCCGATTTTGTGCTCATAGAAAGAAAGTGACCGGGTGGTGGAGGTGACGGTTTTGTCAGAATCGCCACCAGCCGACAGTGCCTGGGAGGGATGTGTGTGTGTGTGTGTGTGTGTGTGTGTGTGTGTGTTTTCATTGTGTGTGTGTGTGTGTGTGTGTGTTGTGTGTGTTTTCGTTCTGGCTCCTCATTGACATGTATCACGTCATGAGCTGCAAAACGTTCTGAGAAAAAACTGCTTGACAGATCCCCGCTGTGGTTTGATCGGTGAGTGAGCAGGTCAGGGGCTGCAGTTAGTAGCAGCAGCCGTGCGAGGGGGCTTTCTGGGCTCAGCAGCTTTCGGTAGTTGACCCGCTTTGTCCGTCTCCTTGAGTTCTAGCTGCCGTGGGAGGTGGGCTCCATTCCTGTCCCCCGTTCAGAGCTGGGAGGGGAGGCTTGACCAGGGTCAGCACTGGCCCAGAGCATCAGCGTTGGAGCTGGGACCTGAACCGGCGTCTGACAGGTTACGGGCCCGAACTCTTAACCGCTGTGAGCACTGCCTGCCCTTCAAGCTGCTTGGGTCCCTGAAGATGCTAAACCAACTTGGGGCCCCAGCACTGAGGAGTGGGTCCCTTGTCTGTGGTGTGAGCTGTGTCAGCAGGTGGCGCTGTGGGGGAAGAAATAGCAGAGGTGCAGCTGTGCACTTGAATCCTCCATCAGAACTGGAGAAGTCCTTTCTGTTCATGTATTGACGTGTTGAGGAAGTTACTAGACCAATTGTCTGCTCTCATAAGACTAGAACTTAAAGGTTGTGAGGGCTAAACCTAGAGGAGAGGATGCGTCGGGATCTCAACTGGAATAATGCTTGAGCATGAGGGTGTTTTGGTATCAGATAGAGGTAGGTATTTTCATTGTGTGCACAGTCATCCTGCCATGAGAGGCTGTGAGATGTACAAGAATGATTAGTGAGCCCTGCCCGTTCGTCTCAGTGGTTATAGCATCGAAGGACCGAGGGGGCGCAACTTAGATTTCCAGGCAAGCCCACATACCTCGTTTGCATGGTTGATCCTGGCCGGTTGGGGTTTGTGAGAGAGGCAACCAGTGGATGTATCTCTCTACAATTGATGTTTCCCTCTCTCGCTCTCTCCCTCCCTTCCCCTACATCCTCCCATTCACTCTCTCTCTAAAGACCAATGAAAAAAGATCCTCCCGTAAGGACTTTTTAAGAAGAAGTCTTATGACTGAGATGGACTATTTCACTGCACGCAGCAGGCCAGAAACATGCCACTAAGTGTCCCAAGGGTTTTGGAGAGGAGCCGGAGTTAGTTGTGTGTGAGACAGGATGTCAGGGAGCCTGTCATTAAAATGGATGAGTCAGCGCAGCTGGTGTGGCTCAGTTGGTTGAGCATCGTCCCATGAACCAGGAGATGACCTTCTGATTCCCGGTCAGGGCACATGCCGGGATGCGGGCTCCATCCCCAGTACGGGGCGTGCAGAAGGCAGCCGATCCATCTTTCTCATCATTGATGTTGCTATCTCCCTCTTCCTCCCTCTCTCTGAAAATCAATAAAAACACATTGGACCAAAAAATGGATGAGTAAGAAAAGCCGCACCCTACATCAATAAACACCCTTGCTTAATAATTTCACCCATTGATGTGGAAAAACAGTCTCAGGCGTCAACTCCTTGAGCAATACAGAATGCTCCTCTGGTGCCACGTAGAGCCCTGGCTCCAGCTGCCACTCCAACACTTAACTGGAGTCAGAGCAGAAAGGCTTCACCGGGCCCTGATGCTGGTGGTGCTGGGGGGAATGTTGCCGTCTCTCCCGGGCTGCACAGGATTCTGATTTCCCAAGTACATTTGGCGAATGTAGCATCATTTGTCCATTATTCAATCCATTTACTTGCTGTTTTCTGTGTTTTTATGCTTCCTCCCTTGGTTACCCGGGATGACAATTTAGCAAAGGGGCAACGAAAGAGTGCCTTTTGGAGCAGGAAGAAGCAGGACAAAGTCAAAGACCAGCCTCCAGTGGCCAGCTCCGCTTGGTCTAAGATTCTCAAATCCTGCACATCTGGGCACATCCCACCCTCTCCTCCCTAAATAGCCTCTCCCTTTTTTCCCCACCCCGAAGATTTATAATCCTTTCCCTTTATCCCTGTCTTGATCATATACCCTTTATTTCTGAAAATTTAAAAAAAATGTTTAAAAGAAGAAGAAAAAAAAATAACTCCCACAACAACAACAAAGCCCTAAGAAAACCAGTCCACTTGGAAAAAGAAAAGTCCTGAACCTAATGGAAACCTCAGTCGCCATGACAACAAGGCCACACCAAAGCAAAGGAGTCACCATCGCACTGCCTTAGTGGCTTGATGTGTCCCCTACTTGGACTCTTGCACCGGCTCTAACTCCTGGGCTACCACAGCCTGGTCCTCCCTCCACCCATCTCCGTGGGCCCAGTTGGAAACCCGAAGTCTGTCTGGCTTGGCTGTGTCTATCCATCTCCGCCGCTCTGCTCCTCATGGTGACGTCACCCAGTGGATGCCTGATGTCAAGTGGTAAGATTTCAGTGCTTCAGACATCACGGTGGGTGTGACATTGAGTGGCTGAGGGGCAGGGGGGCAGGTCCTGGGAGAGTGAGGAGGGTCCCGCCATCCCGACAGTGGGTGTGGCTCCGGGCGCACAGCCCCTGGGCTGCCTGGAGCCAGATGCTGTGCAAAAAGCCTGTGCTCGTGCTCCCGAAGCTCCACCGCACGCCTGTGCCACTGGGATTGGAGAGCCCATCTCCTGTCCTACTATGAGGTAGTTGAAGGTCTTTGAGGGGTTTTCCTCATGTTTTTTTTTTTTAATTAGGATTCTGTTAGGTTTGACAAGAGTGTATGTTCATGGTAGAAAATTCAGAGATTGCAGAAAACACAAAATACAAGGTAAACTCATGGTGCAGTCAAAGTCAGCATGCAGAGAGGAGGACTTCTTAAACAGACGGTTGTTTTGGTGACAACTGACTTGTTTCTCAAATCCTAAGGGTGCCCTCCTGGACCCTCAGGGTGTGGACCACAGTTCTCGCATGGTCCGAGGCAGACTCGGGCCAGGGTGCTTTGAAATCAGGGATCTGAGGACACAGTGTCTCACAGCGGGTGTGCCCAGGAGTTCATGTGTTGGACTTGTGCCAGCATTTGGTGGAGCCTCGTGAGTTGGTCCCTCAAGATCTCCCAGCTGCTCAGGGCCCCCACTGTGAGCCATGGGTAGAGTGGAGGCCTCCGCTCAGGCCTGCTGCCAGGGCCTCCCACTCAGACCACAGCCCGTGAGGTGCAGCCCCACCTTTGTCCCTGGGCTCCCTGGGCCTGGCTGCCTCTGCTGCTAGGCCTCGGTGTGGTCGCCCCACCTTGGCATGGGGTGTTGTAGCCCCATTTCTCACTGTCCTCCTCTGCCCCAGCCCTGGGGACGCGATACTGAAGGGAGGGGCCCCCCACGGAGGCAGCTTTGACCACTCAGATGACTCTGCTGACCCGCACCCAGGTCTGGCGTCCTGGCCAAGGGCGCTGAGGGAGCTGGGCCGACGCTAGGTTGTGAACAGGCCGAGCAGGAGCAGAAACTTTGGTCCTGGCCATGTGGCCTGTGCGGGGGACGCCCTGGGGGAAGGGCTCTCCGAGGACCCTCCTGCCCTCACTCCCGCCTCTCCGTCCTTCCTCTCTTCTCTGTAGGAAACTCCCAGGTGCCCGATGACCGCCAAGGCACCTGCTCAGAAACACCTTCATCTCCTGACCCGCGGGGGCCAGGCAGGCGCACCTGCCAGGAGCAAAGGGAGGATGCCTTCCAGTCTGTGCCCGCAGGAGGACTGTCAGCCCCCCGGGGGAAGCTGCTGAAGGCGGGGGGCGGTATGTGAAGCCCAACTTGAGACCTGCTGAGCCCGAGGCCCAGCCAGTGCGCCCTGAGGCAGTCCCCAGTCCCCGGAGCCTTTCTCTGGGCAGAGCCAGGCCGCCCTCCCCCCTCCCCCCACCTCCCGCACAGCTGCCCGCTGGTGCACGTCCCTGAACAGGGCGGTCAGCCTGGCCTCAGCCCAGCTGCTTGGGACTCACAAGCCACAGGCCGGCAAATAGGAGTCTCCCTGAAGGCGGGGTTCTGAGGACTCAGGGGGCAGAGAAACAGCCAGCCACACCCTCTGCCCCAGCTACTTCACGGCCTGGATCCCCAGTTCTGACCACTGGACAGGAGGCGCTTCTCACTGGCTCCCCCAAAGCAGGAGAGGCTGGCTCCCCTGCAGCCTCCGCCATGGCCCCACCATGGCCACGGGAGGTGGCGGCCGCAGCAGCTCCAGCCCCAGCACCGCGCAGTGACTGCAGCCCCGGCTGCCAGGACGAGGCCTCAGCCCGGGACGCTCAGGGCAAGACCACAGAGAGGGGCTCCCTGCCAAGAGCCCGGGCAGCTCTCTCGACGTGGCTCCCACGCCAACGGGCCCCTGAGAACATCGGTCGTGGGAACAACTTAGAGTGGCTCCCACGCCAACGGGCCCCTGAGAACATCGGTCGTGGGAACAACTTAGAGGGCAGGCGGGCGTCGCCACAGCTGCTTGGGTCCAGCAGGTGGAGGTCAGAGGAGGGAGCGTGGCCGTGGTGACTCGTCTCCTGGGCCCCCAGCTCCTGAGGCTTCGAACTCCTGACGCCCCTTCTGACCACCAGGGCCCCTCTCCCGTCGGCCTGAGGGGCCGGGAGCACCTTTGGAACGAGGAAGGGTCCCCCCACTGCTCCCATTTGTTCTGTTAGTGACAAGGCTGTCACACTCCCACGATGGCTGCACGGGTCTGACCCTCCAGCCACTGGTATCCTGGGAACAAATCCATGTTGGCCTGTGGTGCTCGCAGTGCAGCAGGAAACCCACTAGCTGAGGCAGACAGTGTGCCCCTTAGAACACGTGTCAGCAACCTGACCTCCATGAAAGCGTCCATGTGTGTGCGGGCGTGGGGGAGCAGGTACATGCAAGCACGCTCTCAGGGCTGGGCCCTGTGGTCGGAAACTTGCCTCCATCTCCGGAAGCCTGGTGCTCCCAGGAGAAGCCCAGACCGGCCAGACTACCAAGACCTCACGGCCCTGGGTGGACCCTGGAGTCGAGCTCACTGTTAACCCAGAGCGTTGCCGAGCCAGGCCTGGGCCCCACACTCCTGAGCCCAGGCCCCGGCGGCCTTCCAGGCAGGTGGCCTCAGGCTGTGCCTCTCTCCAGCTGGCTCCTGGGCCCCCCGGACCTGCCCCCGACCTGCCCCCGTGTTTACACGGGCTCTGCCGCGCCTGGCGCAGAGAGAAGCCCTGCCCGCCCCCTCCCAGCTGGGCCACAGTGTCACAGTGTGCAGAGGGGAGCGTGTGCGAGAGGCGGGTGCAGCCTGATTGGTAACGCGCGGTGTCCACCATCCAGGATCACATCCAGGGATAGAAACCCAATTTCATATATTCCATACCCGAGCAGGCACTCATGAAATAGATGTTTTGAGGTGTCCCCCAAATGGATGTACCACAGGCTGTCCCCCCAAATGTACACGCACTGTAACAGCTGATAACTCAGTTTTCGCTCCTTTTCAGGGTTAGCGGATTTGACGTAAGGGGTGAAGCCAGACTAAGCTTTGAACCAAGAAGCTGTATCCTCTGGACTTTGTTATGGGGACACATACAGGATGAAGTGTCTGGTCCCGAACGGGCCCCAGTCCAGGCATCCAGGGCCGCTGTGGACAGAGGATGCGCAGAAACACCGAACGCAGCGATTCTGGGTGTTTGCGGTTCCATTGCTTCAGCAGCAGCAGCGCCTGGACCAGAACGAACGCAGCCCCGGAGTCGCAAACATCAAGAATCGTTCCTTCGGTTCGGTGTTTGTGCGCATCTCTCTCAATAGCTGCCCTCGATTCCTTGACTGCTGGGCTTTGGGCGCCTCAACTTTGACTTTTTTGTGTCCCCATAAAAAGCCTCGTGGAGACGTGTTCTTCGTTCAAATCTTACAGTCTTCACCCATTTCTTCAAATCTGTTCAACCTGAAAAGAAGTGAAAATTAAGTGCGTTATCAGCTGTTAATGTGTCTACATTTTGGGGGGATACTACATGTACATTCAATGGAGACAATTTTCCATCACAGGTCTAATAGCTTTGTACCTGTTTTGTGGGGACACTTTATATTTACATTCTGTTGGTATCATTTTCCATCACATCCGACCTGTCTGTATCTGTTTTGGGGGACAGCCTGTATTGACATTCCATGGAGACTCAATGTCCATCAGCATCCTGACCTCTATATCTTTTTGGGGGGACACCTTATATTTACATTCTGTTGGTGTCATTTTACATCACCTGTCTTAGGTCATTGTACCTGTTTTGGGGGACAGCCTGTATTGACATTCCATGGGGACTCATTGTCCATCAGCATCCTCACCTCTATACCTTTTTGGGGGGACACCTTATATTTACATTCTGTTGGTGTATTTTACAACATCAGTCTTACGTCATTGTACCTGTTTTGGGGGACAGCCTGTATTTACATTCAATGGGGACTCATTGTCCATCATAGCCTGACCTCGCTATACCTTTTCTGGGGGAACAGCCTATATTGACATCAATTGGCATCAATCTTTCTCCTGTGGTCTCATAGTGTATATTTGGCCAGTTTCCTGACACATCCTTTCCTGTTTACTAAGGTGCTCTCCTGGGATGGGCTTAGCCTGGGGATGGGGTTCTATAAAGAGGTTTTCCTTTGGAATTAATGTGCTGCGTGTGCTAATGTGTCCTGTCTCCAAGTATTTATATATATATATTTGAAATACCTATTGATTCTGGAACACAAGGATGGGTTTGTAATAAAATGAGTTGGAGTAGAATTGAGTCCTGGATTTCCTCAGCGCTCATGACTGGCAGCGATGTCCGGGCTCCGGGCTCTCCGCGTCTGCCCCCCGGGTCCTGGGCCCCTGGAATCCAGACCCCCCCTCGGCCAGGAGGCCAGAGAAGGGGAAGCCAGGTTTCCTGTTTCCCAGACAGCCGGTCTTCCCTGGCCTTGGTGTATTTTAAGTCCCTCTAAGTGGAATCCCATTTTGATTTGGGATTTATATCACATTCAATGGGGACTCATTGTCCATCAGCAGCCTGACCTCTCTAGGCCATTTTGGGGGGACACCTTATATTTACATTCCGTCGGTGTCATTTTGCATCACGTGTCTGACCTCTTTGTACCTGTTTTGGGGGGACAGCCTATATTGACATCAATTGGCATCAATCTTTCTCCTGGGGTCTCACCTGTAGTGTGTATTGGGCCGGTTTCCTGACACATGGTTTCGTGTTTACTAAGGTGCTCTCCTGGGATGAGCTTAAAATGATCCTTGGGTTTTCCAAGGCCACTCAACTAGGAAGAGGCCGAAGAGGGAGGAGGACGGCAGGTGAAGATCCCCCCTGACCTGACCTCATGGCGGCCCGTCTGGCTGCCGCCTGCGTGTCCTTCCTCCCTCACCAGCCTCTTCTGTAAGGTGCCTCCTGTGGCCTCCTTTCCCCTTCTTTCCGAGGCCCTGCCCCTGGGGGAGCCGCCCCCTCCGCGAGCTGCCCTCCCCAAAGCTGGGAGCCAAACTGAGCGTGTGGACCCCTGCAGGCCGCCTCCCCTGCGCCATTGGCTGTTGCAGGGTCTGACCCTGCCCAGTCACCCCTGGGAGCTCTCAGCCTCTGTCCCCTGATTCTCTCCCGCCTGGGACAGCTCTTCAGGGCGCACACTGGCCGGTCGCTGGGTCACCCCCCACCCATCCCTTCCACAAACACTCATTGAAGCTCCCTGTGTGCTCGCTCCCGGGTACCACCGTGGAGGCTGCCCCCTCCCTGCCCCTCTGCAGGGCTGAGCCACCTGCTCCCCAGCACTGACCGCTCCTGAGCTTCCGGCCTGAGGTCGCTGCCTGAGACCCCTGCCCGGGCTGCAGGCGTCCCCACTGTCCCTGGCTCCTCTGGGCACCCTGCTTATCCAAGGCCACCAGCTGTCAATCACAGAAGCCAAAGCCTGGGGTGCGGGCTGGACCCCTCCTCTCTCCACTTCCCACAGGTGGTCGCTCCCCTGAAGCTGGGTCTGGAATGGATCTGGAATGTGCCCGCCCCTCTTAGCTGACTGTTCTCATCCCAGGTCCCCCGGACACCCCTGATCCTGGGTCTTGGCAGCGCCTGGCCAACTGGTCTGCCTGCCTCCCACAACTTCTCAGCCCCCGGGCACCTCTGGCATCCACCCCGCTGACCTTCCTTTGTGAACCTCCCTCCCTCAGCCTCCACACTAGCTACACCGTCCTTCTGCGGACTATGTGTTCCATGTGACTCACCTCGGGGTGCACCCCACCCGCTCTCACCTGCCTCCAGCCCCAGAGAAGCTGGTCGTACCCACAGCTCTCACTGCCATCTTCCCAGAAGGCTCCCAGCACTGCTAGCCCAGACCTCTCCTGGGAACCCCCAGATCTGTTCCCAGCTTGGAGGTCCCAAAGACACCTCCACCCCACAATGCTCAGCACACCATTCACCCTCCTCCCCCACCAAAGCCTCTGTGCTCCTCCTCTCATCCCCTCTCTCCATTTCCCCCAGACCATGCTGGGCATCGCCCTCTTAGAGGGGTTCTTTCCAAAGGCTGCTCCTCTGGTGTAGGGTTGCCAGATAAAGCACAGAACTTCCAGTTAAAGTTGAACTTTAGATACACAACTACTAATTTAGTATAAGTTCATCCCGAATATTGCATAACATGTACTTATATGAAATTATTTGCTAAATCTGGCCATCCTATCAGGGCCTGGCCAGAAGTGGAAAGTTTGATTAGTGAAATGACTATGTTTTAAAATATAAGCTGTTTATATCATTCATCCATCTACCTCCTGATCCTCAACACGTACTGTTGCAGACTGTGCCAAGCTCCAGGCATTCAGGTGTAAGCAAATGGAGAGGATGCCTGCCATCACCAGCAATTCCCTCTGCCCACAGGCTCCACCCACTTTGGTCTGCACCTACCCACTGTTGTCCTAAAGAACACTGTCAAGTGTCCCCGTCTCAGGAGTCGGCCCAGCCCTCCATGACAGCAGGCTTTCTTTACCGGGCACTGAGCACAGCCCAGGCGCTCCCCTGGCTCTGTCCCCTGCCACTGCCAACTCCCAGGGGACTGGGCATGTATTTTACTGGCGGCTGGTGGAGCGGGTTTAGGGCACTCTCAGGCTTAGTGACTATTTTTGACTGAGTGGTCCTTTGTCTATGCCTGGGTCTCTAACCTTCCTGGTGCCCTGCCTAACATCCTTTCAACTAAATGTGTTCTGTTGAGATGAGCGAGACTTGGATTTCCTGCTCGCAACAGGGAACCCTGATGAAACTCGGGCTGGGGAGCAGTTTTTTGAGCATCCAAACCAGAGGAGGGACCCCTCAGAGCGCCAGTGGCCGGCCTCCCAGAGAGCGTGGCCCCTGGGACATCCGCGTTTGGGGAACCGACACATTTGAGTGTTGTCTTCCCAACACTTTCTCTCTGCTTTATTTCGTTGCATGCAGACCCTGGCCCTTCGGAGTGAATACTGTCAGTTGCCCACCCAGCAGCTAGTCCAGGATTTATTCATGTGCTAGTTAGTCAGAGGGTGAATGAAGACATTTTCCAGATAAAAGGGGGAGCAGACACGGAGGAACCGTTTTAAATGGTATTTGCAATTATTAGGGATAGACTTACGATAGAATATGAAGTAAAAAATGCAAGATTAAAATGGTATCTTAAGCAAGGTTAGATTGAATTATAGATATAGATACAGATATAGATATATCTAGATATAGATGTAGATAGAGATTGAGATAGAGATAGATGTAGATGTAGATATAGATACAGATATAGATATATCTAGTTATAGATGTAGATAGAGATAGATATAGATATAGATATAGATACAGATATGGATATAGATATATCTAGATATAGATGTAGATAGAGATAGATATAGATGTAGATATAGATATATAGATATAGATATAGATATAGATATAGATATAGATAGATACAGGGTGTCCCAAAAATGTATACACACTTTGAATAATGATATATTCCTGTGGGAAAGAAACATCCATTGAGCTATATGAGCTGTTAAAGTGTGTATACGTTTTGGGGGGAACACCCTGTATATGTCTGTACAGTGAAAAAACAATGGCAGGAAGGATGCCAAGATCCCAGCGTGGTTGTGATGGGCAGTGGGAAATTCAGTGGTTCTTTCGTCATTTCTCGGGTTTTCTGTTATTTTCTAAGCTTTATTTAGCCAACGCGAAAGCTCTGGGTAGAGGAAGTTTCCAAGCGGCAAGGATTCTCCGAGATGAAGTCAGCATTGAGCTGCGGTATCTGAAAACCTTTCTCCCGAGCGGAGGCCCTTTGCATTTTCCCCGTGAAAAATTCCATTCGCTCCAAGAGGCCGCCTACCTTCTCCCGGAAAGCCCCAGGGCCTCAGGTTTTTCCTCGCCCGAAGGAATGACGCCAGGCGCCGCGGGAAGGAGCCGGCGTCCCGGAGTCGCCAGGAAGCGCTGGGCCCGCTGGCGGCGAGCGCAGGCATAGAACCCTCATAGGCATCGTGGCCGAGCCAGAGCCTCAGCTGGCCGGTTAGCTCAGTTGGTTAGAGCGTGGTGCTAATAACGCCAAGGTCGCGGGTTCGATCCCCGTACGGGCCAGAGTGCTCTTTTAGCAAAATCCACTTGCCAATTCTTTTACAGCATATTTAAAAATATGCGTTTCAAATATGGCTTTTGAGATCTGTAAACCGGCTGCAAACAGGAGACAGCCGCGAGATCATTCCGCACTCCTCCTCAAACCTGTCGCAGCGGCCATTGTGGAGGGAGAGCAGGATCCCGCGCACGGCTCCAGTGCCTGGCCGCCCTGAGGGTCTTTCTTAGGACGCTCTCAGAGGCTACCCACAGTGGCTTCCCCATGCAGAGCTTCCAGGGCCCTGGGTGGAGACCCCAGTTTCCCGGAGTCCTTAGAGTTGAAATCCCGGCTTGTAATTCATTCATTCCACAGATGTTTATGGAGAGAGCCTGGGGCGCGTCCCGCACAGAAAGCGAAAGACGCAAATGACAGCCGCTCTGGAGACAGTGACCAGACCCGAAGGCCGTGTTTTTAGGAGGGGGTCTGGTGCGGAAGCCTGTCTTTCATTTGTTAGTGATTGTTAGAGAGCTTGCATGTGCCCTGACCTGGGAATCGACCTGGAGGTATCAGGACGACACTCCAGCCAGCTGAGCCGCCAGGCCCAGGGCTTCTTGCCACTTTTTTGCTTTTTCAGAGAGCTCTTAGGCTTCACATTTCTTCCTCTTGGTTCTGCAGTTTGCATCCAGATGGCAACGGAATTTATTTCCCACTCATGGCTCAAGTCTGTAGGTGTGTAGTCAGGAGTGTTTAGATTAGCAAAAGCCAGCTTTAAAAAACAAAACAAAACACAAAACACCCCAAAACATATCTTTATTGATTTCAGAGAGGAAGTTGAGAGGCAGAGAGGGATAGAAACATCAACGATGAGAGAAAATCATTGATCTGCTGCCTCCTGAACTCCCCCTACTGGAGATTAAGCCCGCAACCAGGGAATGTGCCCTGACCGAGAATTGAACCATGACCTCCTGGTTCATAGGTCAATCGATGCTCAACCATTGAGCAACACCAGCCCGCCAGCTTTTAAGGTCAATGTCCTTTTTAAAATATATATATATATATATTTTATTGATTTTTTACAGAGAGGAAGGGGGAGGGATAGAGTTAGGAACATAGATGAGAGCAAAACATTGATCAGCTGCCTCCTGCACACTCCCTACTGGGGATGTGCCTGCAACCAAGGTACATGCCCTTGACTGGAATCAAACCTGGGGCACTTTAGTCCGCAGGCCAATGCTCTATCCACTGAGCCAAACTGGTTAGGGCAGCCAATGTCCTTTTATATCAGGGTCCAGAGCAAGGGTTCCAGACATCTTTGAAAAATCTCCAGTGAGGCGGTAGCTGGCTTGGCTCAGTGGATAGAGGGTCAGACTGAAGGGTTCCGGTTGGATTCAGGTCAACGGCAGATGCTGGGGCTGTGAGCTCAAGGGGCATCCAGGAGGCAGCCAATCAATGATTCTCTTTCATCTCTGATGTTTCTCTCTCTCCCCATCCCTTCCTCTCTGAAATAAATAAAAATATATTTTAAAATAAAACCTTCAGCCCAGACTGGTTTGGCATCTTTGAAAAATCTCCAGTGAGGCGGTAGCTGGCTTGGCTCAGTGGATAGAGGGTCAGACTGAAGGGTTCCGGTTGGATTCAGGTCAACGGCAGATGCTGGGGCTGTGAGCTCAAGGGGCATCCAGGAGGCAGCCAATCAATGATTCTCTTTCATCTCTGATGTTTCTCTCTCTCCCCATCCCTTCCTCTCTGAAATAAATAAAAATATATTTTAAAATAAAACCTTCAGTGAGAACATCTGTAACCAGAAGGGGGCCTGGTCTTGGTGGGTCAGTTAGAAGAATCTGGGGCTGCTGACACCAGGCGTGGACTCCTGCCCATGAGCTGCATGTCACACCTTGGATGTCTGTGTCAGGCTCCTTGCTAGATGCAGGGACACACAGAGGAGGCAGCTGAGACTGCTGCCCTCAGCGCACACACTTTCCTGAACGAGGCTTGAAGGGGTCCAGAACATGCCTCTGTGACATAAAAAACATTTTGAGCAAAAGGCATTTGAATTCCTGAGCAGTCTTTTCTGCCTAAAAAAGCAGAGCCTTCAAAAAGAACGCAGAAGAATGCAACTGTCATAAATCGCCTTCCCTGGGAGCAATCAGGAAAGACTAACTCAGGACACCTAAACGCATTGTCACAAGCTATCATCGCCCCACCTACTGCAGGGCGGGGCCTATTCACCTTCCCAACAGCCCCGTTTCCCGGGCGCCCCCGCTCCCTCCTCCTCTGGTAAGAGAGTGTACAGCCCACACTCTAACTGCCTCTTTGAGTCACTTTTATTTTTTATTTTTTTAAAATATATTTTTATTGATTTTTTACAGAGAGGAAGGGAGAGAGATAGAGTCAGAAACATCGATCAGCTGCCCCCTGCACACCCCCCACCGGGGATGTGCCCGCAACCCAGGCACATGCCCTTGACCGGAATCGAACCGGGACCCCTCAGTCCGCAGGCCGACGCTCCATCCACTGAGCCAAACCGGTTTCGGCAGAGTCACTTTTATTTTCCTGTGAATTCTGGCAGGTACATGAATAAAAACACATTGCATTTTGTCTTTTCTCTAGTTAACCTGTCTTTTATCAGTTTAATTTGCAGGCCCTCAAAAGCCGAACCGAAATGGGAAGAGGAAAAGTTTTTCTTGCCCGACACGTTTCAAAAGCTGCCGGAGGTGACCCCTGAAGGTGAGGTCAGTCCTTGACAGACAGGCATAACCGGCTGGTTCTGTCGCGGATGAGGGGGCGGGGCCAAAAGAGGGGCGGGGCCAAAAGAGGGGCGGGGCGACACGAGACCCCGCCCACCGACGTCTCCCTTCGCGGTCGCCTTCTGAGGCTTCTGGGCCCGCCCGGCACTCGTAGCCGCCCGTTTCCCGTGAGGCGAGTCTGAGCCGCCGTCGCCCGGCGGCCCCGGTTCGAGCTCCGAGCCGGGGGCCCCGGGCCGGAGCGGCAGCGCCGCGCGCCTGGCCACGCTGGGCCCCGATCAGGTGCGGCAGGTCCTGGAGCAGGTGGCCCAGGC